CTCGTCATTGTCTTCTATTTTGGTTTGAATTTTGATTTTTACATGTTTAAAAAGTAAATTGATAAACTTATTGTAGATGAGTACGACCTTCAATAATTAAGAACACAAAGATGAAGAAGAAACCTATTGTTTAATCTTTATCAAAAAATAGAGGACTAGGGATGTGGGGTGGTGCCTCATGAGGCGAGTCACCAATACATGATGACCACGACCAGCCTGAAAAGACTGCAACGACGAAGAAGAAGAAAAAACATAGCATTCGCCTAACACACCATACGAACAAGTTTTCGGAAGGAATAAAATATAATGACTTAATAATATAAATACAATTTTATTCCCAGAAAACATACAAGGAAGGTAGAAAGCGTTTGATGCATGAGGTTGTGAGGTTGCGGTGCACCGTCATTTGTCTTCTTGGTGGTGTTTAAAAATTTAAATTGAAGTTCGCTACGACGTCCGCAGCTACGATAAACATCTCTGCGCTTTGCTGCTACGCCGTGAGGTGGCGCTGTGTTTAGTTATACTCGCGATACAGTGATATATTGCACACCGATGTGGCGTGAAAATGATACTTTTTCTTCGTGAAAAGAATGGTTTTAGACATTTAATTTACTTGAACAAAAACTACTTAAGTACATTTTTATTTAATCTAAACAGTTAAAAAGGTTTTCGGCTCCCAAAAAAGGACGACAAAAAGAATTGTTCTAGGAATCAAACGAAAAAAAAATACTGCTTATTTGGCGAACAAATTTACAATCAGAAACATTCACAGATCTTATCAAAGTTTTTCTGAGAACGGTCTCGTCTCAATAACTAAATTTGGCCTTCCCTTATTATGATAAATCTATAAGATACATAAAATCAAAACGTAAATAAATTATTGTTGGTTGAGTATTCGAATACAATTAACAGGCTTAAAGACTGAACTGGACGAATTATATCAACAACATACATGATTATTTTTATCCAGTGATTTTCTTAACGTATATATATTCTTTAAAGTATATCGAGGTGACACGGTGTTGTGCACTTTGCTCTGTAATGTATCAAGGAGTCACGCGTAGAACATAAACAAAACAAGACAGCGTAGCAACGTAACGGCTATGGATATTTCCGCCGCGCTATGCTATGTACTCGTATTTACATATTATTTACATGAACAGAAAAATTACAAACATACTTATTATAAGTTAAGATTCAGTACTAACTCTACTTGAGTTAGTACTGAATCAAAAAAGGAGGTTTGTAGAAAAAAATCGTATATTTCTATTTTTTATCTTTAGAAGTATGGAGCAGGGGAATTTAAAAAGAAGAAAAGGAAGGATTTTTTAATGTCAATAAATACAGTCGCGCGACCGGACGTTAAGTGTTTAACGACGCCTAATTGCGGGTGCAATTCGAGTGGAGCTGTTTGTGTGGCAATTTAAAACGAGAAAATGTGAACGCGACAAAGTTTAGTACTAAAAGTAAAAATACAAAACTATAAATAACATTTCTATACAACTCCTGTGTAATCAGATGGTTAGAATTATTTTTATCCTGCATTTTTCATATCCATTAGCAATGTTGCAATGTTTGGATCTGTTGCAATGACGTTTAAAGTTAATTATTCTGGAACAAAATCAATCTCGAATTTTATTCAAATTCTTTTAGTCACCGGCGTAAAGTACTATCCAGACAAAGTGACTACTACACCGGGTTAGAAAAAACTATATTAAGATAAGATACAGAGATATATAATGAGTTGTAGTTACTTTTTATCTATATTTTAAATACGGTCTATGATGACATTTTACAAATAAATCAAGTAAGCTCTCAATTGCGGTGTCTTATAATTTTAAAATAGACTCTAAAAGTCCAATCTTCAAGAGAAAGGCATTGAAAATAGAAATTTCACTTTTGCGTTAGCACGCCCTCTTTGATCAAGTTTAATTAAAGCTCTCTCCGATTTCACTGTTTTTAAATTGCTCGGTACGCTAAGAGTTAATCAAGGAAATTAAGTCGCTCGAACTTTTCCCAAAAGACAGGCGTATACAAACAACATTTATCTCCCCTTTGTTTTATTAAATTTTGTCAGCAAATTTTAAATTGGGGTATCATTTTAAATCGGTAACACACATACATATTTATGCTTAATATACATATTTAGACTAATTTAACGCATAGTTATACTCCTACAACATGATCTATGAAAAATAAAAAACAATATATCATATCAACCTACTTACGAACTTTGTAATGCAATGTTTGATCCGCAAATTTTTTGTTGATGGAAAATAAAGAATTTTCCAAAATGAAATATGTTTTTGTATTTACCAAACTACATTCTTCATTGATACGTGTTTTAAAAAGGAAAAATTGTATCGAAAAATTTTGAAAACTGGTTATCAAATAGAAATTGTCGTTTTGCCCGAAGGCAAAGGTTCCGTTCCGATCCGTTTCACCAACATCGGCTGGATTGTTTTTATTTCTGTCGACCGTCGATTTAATCTACGAGTTGGACGTTCACTGCGAAACAAAATGTCTGTAAGGTAACTAAGTAACAATGTTCTTTTCTGCAAGAATGTCATAAAATATAAAAATTTACTTAAATTTCCGACAAAAGATACTAATTAAAATGATTTTCATGGCAGAATTTTTTAAGAGCTTTCATACTTTCGTTACTTTTCAATTCTTTAGACTGATTTTTCGATGTAAGTAATAATACTAAGGTGCTGAGCCTTTCTATGCTTAGTTTAAAAATTATAATACTATACTTTCTTATAACTTTACATTCGATATCTAAATACTTACAACCACGGAGGAGGAACTTTATGAAAAGAAAAGTTTCGAGACATTCATAAAAGGAAGTTTACGAGCCACGACAGTCATGCGATGGTTCCATTTGCAGGAATATCACGCAACTTCAGACGAACCTGCTTACACTTTCTACCTACTTATACCTCGATATACAACTAAGTAAACATTCTGTATTCAAACATAGTAAGAAAACAAAAAATAAACTCATGCATAGTACTTACGTCTTTCTTTTAATCATCATTTAACATTAGGTAAAATTTAAAAAAGGTAGAATACTGGTCACGTACTATTAGAAAAAAAACTAACAGTTTTTAATTTACATCAGATAAATAAGCCAATTTTATTCTCTTTTATCGCAAATTTCAGAAAAATCACACAGATTAACAAAATAATGACAGAAAAATAAACAAAAATGTATACCAATCAAAATATTTAAAAATATGTGTTACGGAAAAATACTGTAATAGTAAAGAATAATCGGCTTATAAATCGGCTGCAAAAGTGTTCATAAAACGGAACGCAAATAACATTTTTCTGTTTTGCTGTGGATCAAAGATTGTTTCCGTTATGTCGACCGCGCTGAAATTGCTCCGCCGCTATCGGTTGCCAATCTCGTCCGCCGCCGGACATTCGAAACACAAGTAAAAATATGCGTGACAATGTTTACATTTCTCGCTTACATTGTGAATGTTGGAACTTTAATGAGAAATTCTTACTTAAAATGACACCTCACTCACGAGTTTAATTGGTTCGTTTTAGACTTATTAACCAAGAAGTATGCAAACATCCTAATTACATAGAATTATCACTGACTGTATATACTACTCTAGCAACTTAAAAAGATTTATATGGAGCTAGTTGTCGCCCGCGACTTCCACAGCGTGAAATTATAGATGTTCAATATGATTTTTTCGATCTTATATACAGACTCCCTAATTTTATTAATATTTACATGTATAGATAATACAAGAGTGTATGTCCATGCCATGCCATGAAAAGTAAATGCACGGTATTTAGTTCTGAATTACGATTCTTGTTCATTTTGTTAATATTTATACATTGAAATCTTCTAAATGTTTAATTAATTAATAATGTTATTAGTACACTTTTATGAGTTTAACAGTTGTAACCCTTCTCAAAGGTACATAAGCTTATCCACTTTATTTTATTGTAGGTTGCAACACCGCAGGGGTTATGAGCCATATAATTGTGTAGACGGCTGGTAAATGTCGTACGTGTGTTAAGAATTTGACCTACTTCAGTCACTCAAGGCACCCAAGTCGTAACACTATCAACTAATAAAATTTTAATTCTGTACTTACAAAGAGTCTCACGATTATTATGCTTTCTACGATATACTTTCCAGATAAAAAGAAGTCTTTTTTTTAGTTGATATCTTTGTTGAGTTTATTTTCATCAAAGTTTTACAGATTTATGTTATTAAATCAAATTTGTAGATACACTTCGCAATGAACATAGCTCTAGTTCCACGATGATTAGTTGATTTTTATGTTAGATATTGTAACATCTATAAGCAAAAGTATATTCAGCCGAAAGTTTTGAGACACTCATAAACTATGCCTTACGAGCCATGAAAGTAATACAAAGTTCCATTTACAGCAACATCACGCGACTCTGACTGTAAATATCAACTGCTTAAAGATTTTCCAACTATTTTTAGTGGATATTTCAAGTTTATAAAGTAACAATTATTAATTTAGGAAACTTAGTAACTTATAATGTAGTAATCAATTAAATTAAATATATTTGAGCAAGGATTATTAGATCTTTAATATATATATATATTTTTGTAATCTTTATCCAATAATTCTGTAAGCCAATTCCAATTAAAGAATTAACAGTAAAACCTAAAGTAAAAACACCGCTAAATCTAGAGTTTCGAGCCATGTGCATTTCATGCAAAAAAGCTGGTATTTTTTTTTATTTTATCTAACAATATTTGAGCATTTTAGTGCTATAGTACAATAGCATGTTTTGTTAAAAAAATAACAAATCTGGAATTTGTAAAGTATACACGATAATCGTACAAGCCATAAAAATTCAACAAAATTTTAAAATGTTTTTGAATATAGCTTGTAAATACAATTAAGGAAAATCAATTAAACAGAAAGTTAAGAATTTTAATTAATTTTCCGTCTATAAACGCTACTCAAGTACAGATATCAATCACTATCAAGGTAATTTCCGTAATTAAAATCAAAGCGCGACAATACATGTTTGGCAATACAAGCATAAAATTGCAAAATCATTCTTATTTACGATGAATTTTCTGAGAGAACCATTGTTGATTGCATGGGCTTCGTTTATGGTATTATAATCTACATTTATTTTTTGTGTATAGCAAATAGAGTAAAATACTAACACTTCCTATTCTTCCAGGTCGTAATATCATGGGTCAATGCATTTGATGACACAGAACGAGTCAAAACTAGTAGGTAAAACAAGGGTGTTTTCTCTAAAGTGTTATTGTATCCATTGTTCCATTCGATAAAGTTTCTTACTATAAGCCATTTCTATTCAAATATGATAATCAGACTATTGAATCGCCATCCTACTATCAATATTTTAAATCCAATATTTCTTAACAACACGTCCAATTTTTAGTTGACCTTAATATCGGATTCGATCTAACATCCAATTCAGACGGAGTGCCATCACTAAAAATAAGACGTTTTGAAGGTAATTTATGTCATAAAATACTTTTTATATTTAATTTTAGAATTAAAAAACGAAACTAATATGATAACTAATTTTTTTTAAACAATGTGTGTATTTAATAATTTATTTGAACTTATAAAAATGAAGATACTTGTTTTATAATTAGTCGTAGCCAAAACTGGACTCGTATAGTTAGTACGTGAGTGTTGTTGTTTTCTAATTAATTTATGTTTGAATTTATTAGAGTTGTTAAGTTGTAAACGACTTGTAAATAGATACGCATTAAGACTGCCGCTCACTTCTCATTAAAACAACTGAAGTAAGTTCAACAACTTTCAAGTTTCAGTGAACACAATATTAGGTGACTTTAAGCGCATATCTTTAATCGACTTTGTCCCAAGTAGATTACACGAAGTTCATTTTGACCTTTGAAACAGTTATTATCGTTATTTTACTTATTAACATAACGACTGTCTCTTCTAAATGTTATTATATGAGCACATAAAGTACACATGAGTATTTAATATAACGCATATAATAATTTGGATTTAAAGCTAACAGAATTTTTTAGCTCTTAGCTTTTTAACACTTAGTTATGACAGTAATTTTATCAAACTCTAGCTGTTCGTTTGTACAATTTAATATGTATAAATAATACCAACCTTAATAAGCAATCAATGCGTGTCAATCTTAAGTTTACTTGTAAACTCGTTTTGTAAAAACCAAACACTTAAAGTTTTTGACACTTCTAGAAGGTAGCCGTACCTTTAGGTTGGAACCAAAACCGTCCGAACGAGCGGATTCAATAGAAAGTGAAGAAAAAGAGAAACCTAAGTTTAAAAAACGAGTACATAAACCAGGAACTGAGAGCAACGATGAAGAGTCAAGTAGTGGTAAGAACATTTTATTCATATTAAGTTGTAGAACATCCTTACAGCTACATACAATTAATTAAAACATTTTATAAATTACGCTTGGTACGCATATTTCAGAGTATGAAGGTGTAAGAAGTACGAAAGGTTTACGTGGAGAATATGAACCTGAAGGTTCGTACTATTTAATTTGTAATAAAAACATAATATAAGTAAGGACGACGTACACATGATAGCATAGCTAAATGTTTTTAATAATATAATATTTGTTCTCAGACATTCCAAAAGCACAAGAACCGTCTGATGACAGTGACGAAGGCTCAGGTAATTATTATTGTTTTCATTCTTTTACTTAAGTTTTAAACGTCGAATTAATAACAAAATATTGAATATTTTTGCAGATTAAACATCCGGAAACAGACAGTATGTAACAAAGTACCGAAGTGGCTTTTTGTCTTGTATAATACAGAAAAGAAATTATTATTAAGTTCTGTTTTATTTGACTCCCACTCTTATTCATGTTTTAAAGTATGTATATAAAAATTGTTGGATAAGGAAAAAGATAAAGTTATTAAAATTACATATATCTTTTGCCAAAAATATTTAACCATGCTATTACCAAATAAAAAAAGGTCTTGACAGACAGACAACAAAGTGATCCTATAAGGGTTCCGTTTTTTTCCTATGAGGTACGGAACCCTAAAAAGGAATAAAAAGCTTATTTCTTACGACAAAACAAATAATAACCATTGTTACTTTCTGCCTCTTTCTCCTACCTTACAATTTAAATTTAAGAATAGCAAAGAATAGATCGAATACTTCAATTAAAGGCAAGTAATTAATTAGTATGCATCGTACGTATTTTCATGAGCCTAGGCTGTAAAGACGGCGCCTCGGCGATGTTTTAAAGACTATTAGACGTGCCTCCTGGGCCGCGTTAAAACGAATAATTAAAAAAAACTTTTTAACATTTTGATCAAACTTCGATTTACAAAAACGTGTGTTAATAAAACTAATTATTATTTTTAGGTTACACATACCTACATTTTACCAGATTGCCTGAGAAACAATATTTTTCATAATGGCCAGCAAATTTTATAAGAAGTAAATTTTGAAGAATTAATAATTACGGACATAAATTATGACGTCATAGATTAAGAAAACTATAATTATGTCTAAAAAAAATAAAACATTATACAATGAGTACAAAACAAACAATGTAACGATAAATTTTGAATTCGGTATTGTGACATTGGTAAAAGGACGTGGCATACTTTATTATCGTAAAATATTAATTTAAATTATTGGTAGATCAATTGTTGAACATGTTGACAAAAGTGCTATAATATTGTAATATACTTTTACATTTCATATTTGCAGTTGAAAGAAGTTAATTAGCTTACCTTGGGATGGTCCATGCAACTTCGTCTGCAAAGAGGACAGCGGGAGTCTGCTTCCAGGCCGCGACCTTTAAAAGTCTGCGCCCAACATCCATTTTCTAAGATCAACTTTAAAATTTAATTTGAGTATTTAATTTCTTCTCAGTAATAAGTTTTGTCAAAAGATTTTAAGTTATATTCACATCCTTTTCACAATAATTTATTAATAGATTAATAAAAGTTTTCGTATTTTAATTATGACTTTCGACACTTAAAGCTAAAACAATAATTTGAAATTTCATTTATGTGAATGTAGGTACTTGGTATTAAAGAATACATTTTCTTACCTCACTTATCTACGTAGTTTAATAATTATTGATATTCCTGAAAACATAAAAAAATAAGTTATAGACAATAATATAATCTTACTAATACTATAAATGCGAAAGTTTATATTTATGTACCTATGTTTGTTAGAAGATATCTCCAGAACGGTTGAACAGATCTCGATGACATTTGGCACAGATGTAAACAATACTTTGAAAGAAAGCATAGATTACCCACTAAGTTTTTTTAAATACCGCGCGGGCAAAAGCAAAATATAAAATCAACCTTGAAAAAAAAATCAAGATTTTATATTGCAAGCACATCTCGCAATGCAGTTTATTAGCCTGTAGTTAGTTTACATTATTTTTTAATAGAATTAATTATGGTTATATTTATCGACTAGATAATAAAAGTTTACTCTTTTTACTGATATAGATTGGATACTCATCAGATATCAAAACAAAACATAAAAAAGACACTATTTCATTTAGTCTAAAAATAATGGACTCATTGCCAGACGGGTTAATTAGCTGACCTTTTGTCTACTGCAAAAAATTTGTTCGAAGAGTATAATTAGAAATAAAATGATTTTTTTTCTCCATCGATAAACAAGTAAATACTTAGAAAAGTACAGAACCGATTTTATAAATTGTTGCAACTCATAGAAATAACCTAGTATTCATTAACCAAACTTATTTAATAGCAATATTTAATATTTACAAATAGCCGTCATCTCTAAAGTCTGCTAAGTAATTGAGTCAAGGTGTTGTAAATGTTTACACTAATTAAGATTTAATTCCGTTCGGCTACAGACGTAATCTAAATTTTATTTAAACACGTTTTTCCAGATATTTTCCCATATTAACACTATAGCCACTCAATAAATATAACTGCTATATTTATTGAATTAACAAAAATACATTTACTTAACTTTTAGATAATTTTACGATACCTAAGCACTTAAGGCGGCACTGAGATGTCATTTCTCGGATCGTCGCGCGCCGCAAAATGCGAACGGCTTGTATTCACTAGAGATCAAAAAAAGAAAAGATTTAAAAAGAAAAAAGAAATGTTTTCCTCCAGGTTGTTTTTAAATGTTTTTTTTTTATACTTTGTTGTTTGAGACAGAAAGTAGAAGGATAAAACATTGTCAGTTTATTCTTATAGATTTCACAATAATAAAGGAATCACAATTATAAAATCATCTTTAGCTCTCAAACCTTGCACCGTATGAAGTAATATATCTTCATTCATTGTCCATAAGTTTGAAGTTACATACGATGAAGTCCCATTTTCTCAATGCATTTTGTGAGCTTCTCAAATATTTCTAATCTCTCTTTTCGAGACAACGATTTCCTAAACACTTTAATCAATTCGTCAACGGCTGCCCCAGACTTAATATCCCAATAGCCTACTGTTGACTTCTAAGAGTCAATGGATAAATTATTAGAAAAAAAAACATATGTTAATGGTCTTGATCTTGAAATAAATAGCACAATATCTGTATAGACTACGTATCCGTTACGCGAGATCAAAAGTTTTTACTTTCTACGATCATCGATTTTAGTCTCATTTTATCGAAGGAAGATAAAATCGAGAGTCGCCGTAGAAAAGCGTAAGATGTATTCAATATTAAAAAGGTAACATTACTCGAGAACGGTTATTTGAATCATTCAGTGCATAAAACTGGGCTCCCTATCCACTCCTTTTGGACGCACTCATGTGAAGGGAATGAATAATTCAAAAGCCGAGATTCCCACTTCGTTCAAATTTCACTTTAACTTCGGCTATTTGATTAGGCTCAAACTCCATTCCTGATTTTTATGCTATTGATTTTCAAAAGCGCTGGCATCCTTGAGAAATATAATAATATTAAATTGTAAACATATATAATGTACGTATATACTTGATGTTTTTATTAGGAAACGCAATAATGAAAAGATTTTTATTTCTTGAACGTTTGGTTAAAATATTAATGAAAATTAATCTCTTGTTAAATAGTAACAAACTCCAATAAAAACTAAGTTAATAGGACTAATTCATTTAGCTAAAATCTAATTTATTTAAGGTGTCGGACATCGATATCTCAAAATGCAAATTAACAGAGACGGCAATAGAAATTCTGAGAGTTTCTTGCTGTCTCTAAACTTATAATTGAATCTCAAATCCTTAATTGAATAGCAACAGTTAAAGCCGTGATAACTTATTCCCAGTAATTACATAGCTTACAAATCAGACGTTCTTATATTATGTAAACTGATATTTTCTACGAAATACTAAGATTTAATCGTTATAAAAATAAAATATGCGCCTCTTAGTAAAAAAATGATCTTGGAGTTGCATGGTAGTCAAATGAAAAATTACTCTCAGGCGCTGAATATTATTAAGTCCATTTTCTTCTTCAAAAACAGAAATTGCATTATAAAATAATATTTAACTGGATAACGCAAAGAAAGAAATTATATTTAACTAAGAACAAATACAGTAATTGACAACACGATTTCGAATTGGATCATTATTTTGTAATATGATACATAATGAATTGGCAAATATCCAATATAGATGTAGAAGCAATACAATTAAGAAATTCAAATTGAATAACGAAAACGATTCATAGGTTCCACCGGATCAAGCTTATACTTTTAAGTACAGGAATCAAACAATAAATAGAACCAACTAAATTACTTCCTACACCCGTTTTTCACCATGCGAACATTAGCTATCTGTTGTTATCCTACTTTGTTTGCTATTCTCAGTATACTCTTATATACTCTTTGGACGCAACCGTAATTGTTTATGGAATACTTCATCATAAGAAATTTTAATTACAATTGGTTTTTAGAAATAAAACATAGTTTTTAATTTTAAAAAATTGTGTGACGAAATTATCAATTTTATATGTATGCTGTGAACACTCTTGTTGCCTTTGACTTTGGAGTTTGACAGATGTTGAGATAAAAACTAAAACTAATATTTACGAACGTAAATATTCCTATCAATTTGTTAATACATTTTTTGAAACGTTATTTGTTCCATTAAAATAGTTAAATATCATTAAAATGTCTTAAAAGTGATAAAGAGAGAAACACAACTATTTTCGTAATGACAACTGTTTGTTTTGATATCTGGTGTGTATTGTGATATTTATTTTGAATCAATGTTATAAGCTTCTAATCAAAAATGGAAGGTGGACAGTGGAGGAACAGCATTATAAATCAATTGCAGTCAAGAAATAAAAGGGAAACAGCAGCATTTCAAGACATTATAGCCTTTCGTAAGTAACATAACCTATACTAGGTTCCTTTGTCTAATATTGACATTGTATGCCGTTTATAATTATGTAAACTTAATGAGGTATCACATTTTAATACCTACAATGTACAAAATGATCTATCACCTAAGGTAATCGTTATTAACTCTTGTAATCCACTGATACATACTAAACATTTATAAACTTTAAAAAACATTTAATTGTATTCTTATTATTCAATTAAATATTTCATAAGAATTATAATAAGTTGTGTAGTTTAACTGTAACTAGTATTAAAAGATTTCTAAGTCTTCTTTCTTTATTCTTGCTCGAAATTGTATGCTTTTCAGAGAGCAGACTGTTTGATAATGTTAATACATTGAAAAATGAAAATCTACAGTTGCAATTACTTAATGAGAGAATTCGTTACACAAGCACTGAGAGTGTACTTTCTAACACAGGTTAGTAAAATAATTTTATTTGTATACTTTTATTGGTATTATTTTATTACTACAATGACAGTTATTTACATGGATTAAGAAAGAAATCAACCAATGGATATAGTTACATATTATATAGAGATCCCATAACAGATGTAATTCATCGGATGGGCAAAAAGTCTCAATTCTGATGCCTCTTAAATTCTCATACCAAGAAAAATTTTTGCAAAACATTGTCCACATAAATATAAAATAATCAGTTCCTTTGGGTTTTATTTATAAATATATGAAAATGTTTTTCCACTTCAAACTTTCAAACAAGTATTTTATGTAAGGTCTAGAGTTAAAAAGCACCATAAAATTTAATCAATTGTTGTAAGTATTATATGAATAATTAATTGTTGGAAATATGAAACAATGATAACATATACTGTTTGTATTTCTCAACAACCAATAAGAACGAAAATATTATTAATTACGATTACTATTAAATTAAACCTCTATTTTCTTTTACTTTAAAGCAATATCTTTTGTACTAAATTTCAGGAGGTGCCAGTAATGAAAGAATACAAGCTTTAGAACAAAAAATATTAGCACAACAAGAGGAATTAACTTCATTACACAGGCGTCGGGGAGAGAGCGCACAGCAAATAATAACTTTGAATGCAAAAGTACATGAGCAAGAAAAGAGTCTACAGGCAAAAGATATAATGTGAGTACAATTTTATATTCTCCTGAAGGTTTGTTATTGGCTTTAGCATGTCTATCGAATTTGTGTAATCATAAATTTCATATATGAGCCAAATCAATTAAATTATAATACTATAAAAAAATGGATAAATAGTTTGATTGTTTACCAGATATTTTAATCTGTTGCAAATATGGACCAGACTTTCAAAGAAGGCAGCTACCTATCAATAAATTAACAAAAAATGTAATGTTTCACTAATAATTGCTTAGTAAGTGTAAAGCACTCTGCTAGTTTACTAATTTCATTTGATTAACTTTAATGTTTAGCTTTTATTTATGAACCTGAGTTTGTGTTTGAAAAAAAAGTGGCCCCTAATTACTTTATAATAATTTCATATCTTTTGTTGTCATAACAATGATGTAACCTTGTGTTTAATTTTGTTTATAATCATAATAATGAAATTACAAGCCTCCGTTTACATTTGAATAGGACAAGTATATACAGTTTTGTTGTGTTAAATTATTTAATTTATTATATTAGTAATGAATCCTTATCTTGTGCAGCTTTAAGATAAATTAAACGGCCAAAGAAATCAGCAACTTTTATTTATGTGGCAATGGAGCATATATTTTGTAGTTACTTTTATACCAAAGGATTATCATTCAAATAAGATTCTTCCGCTGAAATGGATGCAATATATATTAATTATTGATAGGAACTTAAGTTCATTAAAATTGTACTATAATAAGTTCTACTTATTTATATAAATATGTGTCCTCTTTTAGAATTTCAGAAAACACTGCATTAATAGCATCATTACGAGCTGAAATCCAGTTGTATGAAACAAACATGTCCGAGTTACAAGGACTCAATCAAGTTATAAGAGATGAGTACCAAGCGCTACAAATAGCTTTATCGTCTGTGGAAGATAAATTAAGAAAAGCACAGGTAAGAAAAACAAATGTATTATCTATTTTTTTAATAGAAGCCAGTGATTGGCCACAATCCCACTTAAGGTTAAGAAGTAAAGTGATGTTATTATTAAACTGTCAATATGCGATCTTTTTTTTTCGATTGTAATTAAATACAAGTATTATCAAATAAATTAAAAAAAATTTGACTCTTAAAGTGTCTATATTGAAAATTTTGAGAATTTTGTAAAAGATTTTTGTATTCAAAATATGAAATACGAGAGCAAATATCTTTTAAAAAAGTTCTCCTGAATTTAGAAAAACCATAAATATTAAAAAATCTACAAAAATCTACTTTAAATAATTTAATAAAATTAATAACATATTCCAAATACTAAAATTCATAGTAGACGGTTGTTTACGTGTTAAAATTATTTTTGGCATAGCAATGTGTTTACAATTAACACGGCCCACACAATAGTGTAACGAGATTAATACAAAAGTCAATTGTGTATTCCTCACCTAATACATAATCATAAACGTTCCGTCGTTCCCGTTTGCTCACAACGTCGCTCAAGACGCCTAACCCACTGGAACTTCAAATTTTTATTGCATCATTGGAGTTATGGCAGTTTGCCAACACTGAGGATTTGTCCATCAGATTCAGTATGATTCTTATTGCATATGTATAGAAATTGTCGAAATTTTCCACCAGTAGGTAGGTCGAATTCGGTTTGATCTATTTTTAGGTTAGGACGAAAATATATCAATAATTTGACGATAAAATTAGACAAATATGATTACAGTATGCTTGATGAAATACATATCACCGTCAATTCATTGGTTTGGATTTGTGATGAAGATGTAAATAGGTTTATGTATCTCATTCAAGCCATCTCGGACAAACCATTTTATACAGACAGTTTTATGTTGACATTAATTTTTAATACAAAGTGTTATAAATAAGGTACCTGTATACAAAAATAATTAAATACACTAAAGTAATTTGAATGTCTTTATTCTTTTTATGTGTTAATAGGTCTAATCAGTATAACTATAATTGGATGAGGTTAATAACATCTGTTATAAAATAGATGTTTAATTCCATTAGCGCGTTAGTTAACGATAGTTTTAGTGCCGTAAAATGTAACACCCTGTATCTTTTACGACTCTCATGTGATTATCGTTACGTGTATCAATGTTTATGCATAGGCGTGGAATACGGACACACTGTATAATTTCACAAACAGCGTTCAGTCGCAATTTTGTTACCATAGTGTGCATCACTTCGGGATACATTTTTTTCTGTGTTTTTCTCTGTGCTATTTTAGTATCTATGGAAATGCGTAAACGGGTAATGATATTTTAATAGTGAAAAATTATTATATTTATTTGCAATTGATATGTGAGTTTTTCTTTTCAGGATGAAAATCGATCTTTAGTTGAACGTCTTATTAAATATAAAGCTAAAGATGCGGACAAAATGAATGAAGAAAATGAACATTTTCTAAAGTGAGTTTTTATATTTATATATGAATATTAATCGCACCTGTCTCTAACGATACTGACATTTTCAATGTGCTTGTAATATTAAATTGTATTTTAACTTGATACAAAAATATCTTACCTTGGTTATGTAAAAATATTGCTATATTAAGCTTTCTTTGACAAAATTTTTACTTGCACATAGATTATATATTTTATGTCTGCGTGGGGCATTTGGTTCATTGACATACTTATTTAAATTAGTAGTTGTTTTATATTAGTGTATGTTGCTAAGCATTGTAGATTTCAATATGAATTAAATGCTATAAAAATGCACAGTAGACATTTTTCATTTGTCATGTATTGGAAGATTTAAATTGTTTGTGATTTAACTTTAAAAAATTGTTCTAAATTAAGTTTGGTTTATGGATACATAACAAATGATAAAAGCTATTTTGTGTTCACAATATATTAGATATAGTAATTGATATGTGTTTGATAGAGTGGGTTTTTGCGTGAATTAAGAGCTTGCATAAGTATTTGTGATTTTTTGTTTGCTTTTTTTTTGTTTTTAATTTCTTCAACAGGTCAAGCAACCCTACCGCGTTTTTCATCAACACCTTTGGTAGAGTTAGTTTCGGGTGAGTTTGATATAATGTGAATGAGGATGTGGTGGTTTTAAGGCATTGTGGCGTTTGTAGGGCTGACATTGATTTACTTCTCCATGGTAAATTACCCAAATACCTTCCCTTTGTTTTAACTGCACTATGGTTCTTTGGACTCTGTGTTTCTACCCTCATTGTTTTTTAAATTCGAATGGGTTCTCCTTTCCTTTATTTTGCAGTTTGATTTGCTCATAACTGTAGTTTTGTACCCCCTTTATTAATATGTTTCTAAATGATTTGATTTTGTTTGACATAACAATTGCACCTGTCTTAACATTACCTTGTTGATTGAATCCATTATGTACCCGTTGATTCATTAATCGTATATTTATATACAATACGAGTATATATTCATTTTAAAGGAACTAAATATTCACTTTTTATTTCACTTTGATTATTCACGGTTGTCTTTAACCTCCATCCTAAATTTAAAAGTAAAAAAGAAAACATATTCACTTGGACTAAATGATCTGTGTTTTTAATTATAGCCTTTTACCTTATACCAAAATATGATCTTACTAATGCATAATTCACCTGTATGGATTTCCTAAAATAGAATGCATTAAGTGTTAATATAACTTTAAATTTATGCATTTGGACTCTCAGATTTATAGCTGTCTGGATTTGCGCGTTTCCACAATTTCGTTTTATCGCTCGCATCAATCTAGTTGAAAAGATTTATATATTTCCGGCTTATATAAATACGCTACAGGCTTATGTTTGAAACGGAGATGCTTTAATGTGCATGCTATCTTTAGACTTTGGTTGTAAGTAGTGAAAATAATCTTCATTCAAAACATAGGACCTACCGATATATAGGAATCTTCTTTGAACATTGTGATAGTTCTCCATTTCATTGAATATTTGTGAGCGTTTACTGTCTCACTATTTATATCATAAAATATTTATAAAATAATGTTATAAAAATGATGCAATTGTTTTTTCCTTTCCGTTTATTTCTATGGTTAGAAGGACGTTAAAAATTGATTTACTACTGCGTTTACGACATAGTTATCAGAGCGATGAGTAAACATGTAAAAAAGTTACTACTAGAAATATTATAATAGGTATCCTGCCGTCTACAATACTTTAATAAAGTATGTAAAAATGTATGTAGGATAAACTAAAAATTACGTAGATTGAAGATATTCTATGAATATATAAATCTTGCGTATCCTTAAATATGATATGGGACAGAAAGAAATGGTTGAAACATTCGTTGAAATTTGCATGGCCTTATTTTTTTAATTTCAGCATATTGTGATTGGCAGCACGTTGAAGCTTTTATTGCGCTGATTGAATGAATCGCTAATCATGGTTGTATGGAACTCAAAAAAGCTGTTACGCTAAATTGTATAACAAGAATTTTATGTCAGTGTTGCTTCTTTTAGGAAGAAAAGTGACAAAGTCCGCAAGGAATTGGAAGACGCTGCGAGAGAGGGTAGTAGTAGAAGTAGCGGTGGCTCCGGAGGTTCTAATGAGGAAAAAATTATGGATACTATTCATTACTACACGTCGATTTTGCCTACCAAAGTTAGCTTGAGATTTGTGAGTATCTTTGCAGTTATTTGTGAAGTAATTTCTTAGGGTAGTTATATTCTATATTTGAATATTAACAAGTTTATTTTAATATAAAGGACGCTCACGATGGTGAAGTGAATGCAGTCAAATGGAGTCCAACAGATAGAATATTAGCAACAGGAGGTGCGGATAGAAAAGTTAAATTATGGGATATGTCAAAAAGTAAGTGCTCTCAACACACTCGACGTATTTACCCTTGAGGTTTCAATACGAATTACAGACTATTATATCTATCGTTTTGTCCTAGTAGGTGTAGTGGAAAGCAGAGGTGCTTTAGTGGGGTCTAACGCGGGTGTGATGTCGGTGGACTTCGATTCAACAGGCGCGTACATCGTGGGCGCGTCCAATGACTTCGCGAGTCGTGTGTGGACGGTCGGTGATCAGCGGTTACGGGTGAGTCGAAAGTATTATTAGAGCCCTTTTCCACTTAGCGGGTAATCACGCAGCTTCGCGCAGTTGTCATTTTGTATAGCAGTTGTGGCCGCTCCAGTAGACATAAGACAACGAAAGGCGGTCGCTGGTCTAGTCGCGAAGTGGAAATAGGAGCTTATACTTTGTTTCTATACTCTACTACTACTACTCACAACGATCACAATGGTCACTAGATCACAATGGTTATTAAGTTATTGAAACGAGATATTAAAGACTGTCGTGTTTTGCGTAGCTATATTTAATGCAATATGTGGATACATACATTAATCAGTTTCTTACTTACTATATTACTAGTTAAATTTATGCCCAATTTATGTATATGTTTTTTCTTTAATAAATATAGAGTCGATACAAAGTAGAGTTGGGCTTTATAAGTAGCAGATGAGAAACCGGCTCATATTACCTTATCTGACGTATATTAAAACATCGCGTATTCCATATTCATTCTCTGTAAAGAATTATAGTTCTAGTGTGTCAATAAGAATAAGATTGAATACCTCGTTATCAGTAATCGAGCCTCGGTTTTGGTCCTTTTTTGAACACTGAAGACATCAATTTTATTTTAACGACAGCTTACTCATTCGCGACATTGTATTTTACAGTTAAGTTTATTAAGGACCTTCGACATAAATGCTAATTTGTCACACCAGCGGACAATGCAATTTACAAAAAAAACGGTATCGCAATGCACGTGCAGCTCATTCGATTTGAAGTGGCCTTTTTTTTTGTAAAAACTCGACCCAGATGACAAAAGAAAGTATGCTAAAACATGTTTTAACGACATGATTCAAGTGGAAGTAATTTATTTTGTACATTGAATGTTTACAACACCGTGCTACACAAAATATTTGCACGTTTTCTTTGAATCCAGATCCGCGAAAGTCTGTTTTTTGTTTGTTTTGTTTTTAATTTCACTGTCACCGATTTTGTTGTTGTTGTTGAATGCCGACATGCTGGTTGTTTTTTTTATAAAAATAGATTTGCCTGTAACAAGACATAAAACGCCAAATTTTTGAGCGATTTCAAAGTAACAATATCTAAATACAAAGTTAACACAACAGATAATGCTCAAGCATTCCTATTTGGTGCAAATTCACACACGACTAACATAAACGTTGACTTCCTTCAAAGAAAATAACTAAACGGTCTAGCGTTATAGAATAGTGAGAGCTATTATCATTCAATGGTTCGAAGAAAGCTGTTACAGCTTAAGGAAAATATTATTAAGCTACATGTTTATTGTTAACAAATAATGACATAATCCGTCAGTCGGGATAATAAAGTCGAGCCGGGGCGAGGCACCGACTTGGGGATGGGGCGTGGCCGACGAACACGACCGCTATTAGTGCGTCGTTAACTCGCGCGTCGTGACCCTCCTCTGATTTCCGATGCGCGGCGACTCGTCTCGTTTATCGCTCATATTACTATTTGTATTGGACATTTATTGTTTATTTTTCAGGTGTTGGAAACACGGAATAATTTATTCCATTTTTTATTAATTTAAAGATTCGCTATCTTTGTGCATTTTAATTCAACTTGTAGACAGAACGTTACAAATTATGTGTCATATTACATAGAAAGTCAGACGCTACAAACCTAGTTATCTTTCGATACTGTAGCTGATGTTACATTTTAAATATGTTATTGCAATCAACGATTTTTTTTTAAACTTTAATTCGATTAAAAAGTGCACTCACACATTTTATTGACAAACAGTTCTAGGTTGTCTTCTCTATAATTTCCTAGCAGATGTTAATATTAGCAATGATTTAAGGCTTAGATATTGTTTTAAGCAACATTGATGAAACAAAATACATAACGTGCAATGATTCCTGTATGTCTGGGCTCAACGACTTGTCATAATTCTCGCTCATCGGAGGTAATTCACCGCATCGTCGTGCAATTATGTAGGCTAAGTGATTTAAAATCATACATCGACGCGACTTCAATACCTGACTACTGCAGAACTACATTCCGCACCTTTTTTTCATAAGTGACCATCGACAATGATTAGCCCTTGACAGCTCTGTAGTTCACTTGTCAAAGTAATTGACATAATAGGTCTAGGTTTTTATCTATTTTTATTTCTCATGTCATTTGTATTAAGCAACGTAAAAGTAGGTGTATTTATTTGCTAGTTTTGTAATCATTTGGACCCAAAAAAAATTAAAGTTTGATATGAATTATTTAATTTAATAATTACACCCAAATTACGTGACCTTGTTTGCATACCCTCTGTCAATATCAGTAGACCTTTCTATATCGATAATCTCCAACTCTGAGTATTTTTGTATCCAACAAATATTTATTTTGGCTGTAAATATATTTGTATACGCTTCATGTCCTCGGAACTGCATTGGGAAATTTCTACGTTTTTAACGCGTTTTCATTAAATTGGATCTAAAGAAGTGATGATAAAAATAACACATTAATGTTTCGCTGCAAATACTAAAAGTGTACGTAAAGAGTCGTTACAAATAACCAGGAAATGATAATATAAGTTGTTTTATGTTTCGCGTTATAACTTTGAATAGATTAGGTGTCTTTATATGTCAGTTTAATACCGAAAATCTTAGGAACATCCCGTTGTTTTTATTTGAAAACATCAAAACACAATTAACATTAACGGCGCGATTATGCTAATAGCCTGCCAGTAATGACATTAATATGGAACGAAATTTCTCTGCCCAAGTGGGCGCTAAGTGATTCCATTATATTAATTAATAAAAGTTCATCCTACATAGCTTTTTACTTACTTTTGGCATTATAAAATTTTGGGTCGATGGCGTTCTTTTATATATCGCAGTTATCGATGCAAAAACGCTTGAAATCTATTAAAACTCTAAAATAAGGTTACTGTACCCAGAAATATCTACGTTATTGAATATTTGCCTAAGCTTTTCGCCTTAGTAAAAACATAATTTTCAATTTAAATTATTTATTTTTTGATCAAACTTGAACATATTCAAATACATAAAATTAGTCTTATTAATACTTAATTTAAATAGATAGCATAATAAGGAATAGAATAGAAAGTAATAAATCGCATTTAGTATTATTTTTGTTCTATCAATTAACTATCCCATCTTTGTCAACAAGACTTGTATTATTTATATGACTGGTGCTTTTGTAACATTAATTCACGAGCAATGATAAACAATGTTCGTAAACAATTGGTCGAATATCGGAATCAGATCGTGACCGTAGCAGGTTAGGGTATAATGTGAGACGTGAAATCAAACGGTAGATAAGCAAATTGTCCGATACAAGAAGATAAATTCAGTGTTTCATACGGTCCAACTGGAAACTGTGCCATTGAAATTAAATGCAAAATTTACTGCCATTGTTAATCTGACTACTAAGTTCGAATCGTGATCAGAAACAACTGTCCAACGATCAATATGTCTCGATATACGCACGTTGACAATAAGAGATTAGCAACCGTATTGGCTTTGTAAGTAAAACTTATAATCGTCTTCAGCTGGTCATTAAGATAGCATTTTTTAACAAAAAGGTTTATTTCATTATTAACATTTAAACCTTGCATTGAGCGTGTAATAACATTTCGGACTCAACCAAATTATCTACTGGTAACATCGAACTAACTCTGAGTGGAACTTACATTTCCTTGTGATAATTAGTTCTGCGTGACCACGACCACCAACAAAGATTCCTCTACAAGTAAGCAGACAAATTGCACCACGAACATCCGTAAATGGAATAATCAGGCGAAAGCCATTGTAAACTTGTCTACTTAGCTTTTTTGTACACGAATGTTTATTTGTAAATTTAAAGCTGAAGTCCAGCCTACTTTTAAAACGTTATAATAGTGTTGTACGGCAATATAGCGTGTACCCAAAATACATGTATATGACACTTTTACGTCTTTGTTATAATCTAGAGCAATGATTTACTATCATGCTAATATTTTTAATACGAATGTTGAGATGGATGTATGGATGTTTCTTTGAAGGTATCTCCAGAACGGCCGAACGGATCTGGATTGTTTTTTAGTGCCGCGCAGACGGAGTTGCGGGCGACAGCTAGTATAAACAATAAAGATATATAGTCAAATAACACATTTTTTTCATTTAATATCGTTATTGTTGTATTTATCAACAAACTGTTGTGGGCTTTGCCTTACTTGGAAACTTGTCATCAAACGGAAAGTTGCCGAAAGGGATTATTTTCCACTAAGGTATTGTCCTCGTTACTTTCCATTCCCAGTGAAAGTATGCGCTAGTTTGTATCAAAAAGGCTTGTACCCGAGATTTACCACAACAATGTCGTTGTCGATGTATTCACTGCGATCTGCTTTTACTTTGCACATTGTGGCTAATACTCGTTTTATTATTTTGTTGATTTATATTTTATATCAACGTATCAAGTTATATGCATTTGCTTTATTAAATTTTCATATGTCATATTTGCATATGGTAACATTTTATTTTCTATATATAGAATATATACTCTAGAAAAAGTTAATGGAATATATATGGCATATTTATTTAAATAGTTATGAGACTTATTATGTTTTTTTGTATCAAAGACACCAAGAAAAAAAACCTAAGAATATTATAAGTGTAAAACAAATAGTTTACATAAACAACTTGAACTTTGTGTCAACTAATTACCAACGCTATGATTTATAATTGATTCGCTGTCATTAAAACTTAATAAATCACCATTTAATTCCATCAATAAATTGATTTTCCTACCCTGAACCATAATTCTAAATTATATTAATGGTCTTTATCGACTTATAATAACTTGATTTGAACGTTCCCATAAATCATTGTTTTAAGAACACATGCTCCTTTTGTATTTACAATAAATCCTGCATCCGTAGTGGTCAAGGATTAGCTCTGTGAATAGATAGTTACCGTCGGTAATATTTCATTTGTGTCTCGATGCCGCATGTTAGATACGACCTTTAACTATTCGTTCTGTATCGACGGAAC